CGAAAAATCGGTACAGAGGCCCAGCGCACACACAGACACACACACACACAGACAACCTCTCGTCAATATGCGTTTTTCGCATTGCATTGCTGACACACACACACACACAGACAACCTCTCTCTCGTCAATATGTAGCGCACACACAGACACACACACAAACACACACAGACACACACACACACACAGACAACCTCTCGTCAATATGCGTTTTTCGCATTGCATTGAACACACACACAGACACACACACACAGACAACCTCTCGTCAATATGCGTTTTTCGCATTGCATGCTGACACACACAAACACACACACAGACACACACACAGACAACCTCTCGTCAATATGCGTTTTTCGCATTGCATTGCTGCAAAACACACACACACACACACAGACAACCTCTCGTCAATATGCGTTTTTTGCATTGCATAACTGCAAAAAAAAAGCGTAAAAACCAGTACTAGTGACAAAATATAGGCAAAAAGTCAAACTCCCCTCCCTATTCAGCTTGCTTCAAACACACACACAGACAACCTCTCGTCAATATGCGTTTTTCGCATTGCATCTAAAAAACGCATACGCACACACAGACACATACACACACAGACAACCTCTCGTCAATATGCGTTTTTCGCATTGCATTGCTGCAAAAAACGCATAAAAACACACAGACAACCTCTCGTCAATATGCGTTTTTTGCATTGCATTGCTGCAAAAAACGCATAAAAAGGGATCTCGAATGCCGCATAAGTGAAATTAGAAATAAATCGCTGTAAAAGTATCGATTTGAAAGAAAGGAGGAAATATATAACAACAAAAAATCGAAGAAAATAATTATGAGTTAAGACAGAAGAGGATACATTTTTCTTGTAGCATATGTAAAATTCAAAAATGTATTGTCGAAAATTTTCTGTGTATGTGTGTGTTCGAAGGCAAGTGGTTTTAATTTTATTTTTAACCAAAGTGTGGCTGAGTTACAAGCAGGAGCAAGCTTAAGCGCGCAAAGCCTTTGATTCTGAGCTGTCACTCTGCTTTTGTTCATCAAAAAGCCTTGATTTTGTGTCGGTACAATTTCTTGGAAAATCATCTAAGTGATCCCACAACCGTCCCTTGTCAATTAGTGTGATATTCAGTGCCTCTCAGCAAAACAGGGCAAGCATGCTTGCAACAGCTTTACTACATATTTGTTTAGCTTTCGATAACGTATTTTACTAAATGAAGTGCTTGTTCAACATTATAAAAGTGAGTAAACTGTGATAAGAAAAAGAGACAACAGATCAGCAAAACGAAGCGGATTGTCGATTGGTACACGTGCATCATTGAAAGAAAACAATAAAGACCGCTAATCCGATGATAGGATCCATTTGAACGGTTATTTGGAATTGTGTGAATGAGAGCCCCAAGCAGAGAAGAATGGAGAAACTGCCAGCTGCATTAATGACGAGAAGAAATGTGACGATGAAGATAACAGCTAACAAAAAATCAAGTTATGGATGACGTGATTTCACCTTCATAATATCCATTTTCTCGTATTTCTTCATTCATTATTTTTAGGCTTGCATGCAATCGTGAATAATGCGGGAGTGCAGTGCCAGTGTTTCTTCGATGACATGCTGTCGATTGAGGATTACAGGGATGCGATGGAAGTGAACGCATACGGTGTAATTCGCGTCACGAAAGCGTTCAAACAAATGATCAAGCGCAACAAGTCAGCGCCTTTATTATTTATCAGTTGATTCATAATGTTATTGGAGTGTAGCCATAGGCCAAGTTCAGCTAGGCTCTGATTTTTCGCGCTAAACTCGTGCTGTAACTTCATAAGCCTGCGATACTTTGATGTTTCTTTTTCTCAAGTTCCAAGTATTTTTTGCGGAGTAGCCAAATTGTAGTAAGCTTAATCAGAAGCAAAAAGTTTCATTTTTCAAAAAAAGCATTCCAGTGGTTCAGTTAAGAAAAAATTCTTTTTTTTCAACTAATAATATCAGAAAAAAAGGTGCCAGTTAAAAAACCACAGTTAAAAAAAACCACAAGCTGGCATCGCACAGGGCAAGTAGCACTGTTGTCATGCAGAAGGCCGAGAGCACGATTCCGCCTGAAATTGTGAATCAATGAAGGCTAAGGCGGCAAAAACAGTGAAAAAGCATTTAGGCCGCTGATGAAGGGACCTATTAAGGCCTCCATAGTAGGGCTCAGCCACCAATGGTACTTCTAATTTCGCAAAATCATTTCACACGCACTTGTCTTGCCGGTTGTTTTCTGTTGTTTCATACCATTTCAGAGGTCGAATCATCGTTTGCACAAGCTCATCTGTTCGCTTTCCATCACCCGGCCTTGGCCCATACACATTCTCAAAAGCGGCTATCAACGGATATTTGCAGGTTATTAGGTAATCTATTTGCGCTTACCCAGTTCTTTCTTTTAGCGGTCAAAGCCGAAGTTTTGTAGACGTAGATGTTGTTACTTGCATGACTAATATCAGCCAGTTGAGGCATGAGTTACGGCCTTTTGGCGTAACAGTAATCACCATTGAGCCGGGCATATTTCGAACACCGATGAACGATATTCCAAAAATGATGAGGATGATGAACGATATTTGGGCAAAGACAGATCGTGCTTTGAAGAAGGAATATGGCGAGTACTGGTTCAGTCGCGGTAAGCACTTTGGCTTCGAGCCCGCTAAATATTGGACCTCATAAACGCAGTC